TGAATAAAGACTGCTGAATAATCTGAGATGAATAAAGACTGCTGAATCTGAGACGAACAAAGACTGCTGAATAATCTGAGCCGAACAAAGACTGCTGAATAATCTGATCCCACAAAGACTGCTGAATAATCTGAGCCGAACAAAGACTGCTGAATAATCTGAGATGAATAAAGTCTGCTGAATAATCTGAGATGAATAAAGACTGCTGAATAATCTGAGATGAATAAAGACTGCTGAGTCTGAGTTTGGAAAAGAGCTGAACACAACAAAAGTCAAGCAGCAGTCAAACAGGATCTCCATCCAAACACCTGACGTAGCCACTGAACGGCTGACCTGGTTCTTCAGACTCTCTTCCACCTCTCTGTATCAACTTCCTGTTCGATGCTGAGCTCAGTTCCAGTTCTGGTCTGCTCTGATTGGTGATGAACCTTGAACATTTATGACCTTCTGTCACCACCTGAGGTCTGCACTCTGTCTCTAAATCAACAGTCGTAAGTGAAGGGAGACAGAATACTCTGGAACTTATGGTCCTTTCATCAACGATCTCTTCAAACTGGAAAAGAACTTTCTACAACCTCAATTTGTAAAAAGTTGAGACATTGTGTAAATAGCAAATAAACAGAATGCAACGATCTGACAGACTCATGAATCCATTTTTATTCTACATGGAACAGTAGACATCAAATGATGACACCCCCCCCCCCCCAAAAAAAAAAAAAAGATACATATGTCATTTTGGGGCGTGGTCTCCAAACTCCATGGACATTTTGAGTTTTATGGCAACAACACGTCTCAAAACTGTTGTTCCAGAAGCAATAATCAGTAAGCGGTACAAATAAAAACAGCTTGAGGAGCATTTTGCATCAGATTAGATCAATTGTCAACAGATCAAAGAGTTTGCATAAGAAGAGCATTTTCAAGAGGCTGAATCTGTCGGAAGTAAAGATGGGCAGAGGTTGAGCAGTCTGAGAAAATCATAAACTTGGAGCATTTCAACCGTGTGCAGTTTATAAAACCATCAAACGTTTCTGTAGAAACCTTTGAGCTCAAAGGACGAGGCTGGAAGTCAACATTAGAGGGTCGTGATCTTCGGGCCCTTGGGGGCCACTGCATTAAGACCAGGTCTGGTTCTGCTCTGGGCTCAGGAACACTTCCACGGATCATCATCTGTAAACAGTTCATCCACAGAAGCTGCTTAAAGCTCTATCAGACAAAGAAGAAGCCAGATGTGAACACCATCCAGAACCTCTGGACCAGAACTGGTTTAAACTGGACCCAGGTGAAGTCCAGAACTGTTCTGAGGTCAGACGGATCCGACTTTTGAAATCTTCTTGGAAACCACAAACGTCACGTCCTCCACGTTAAAGAGAGACGATCGGAGAAAACGATGTCAAATCGTTCGTAATCAATCATTTAATTAGTTCGATTAGAGGAAACAGATCACGATAACGTCTAACTGAGCTTCAGTGGGTCAGAATAAGTTTAAAAACTTGCACGTCTCTGCAGAACATCTTTCCTTCTCGATGATGCGCACCATTTGCATCACGAGTGCTGAATATTTCTGAGGACGTTCCTTGAAAACGGACTCTCTGGGTCGAGCTGCAGCTCGGGGGCATCAATGTAGAAGCAGGAGCACGAGGAGGACGCTCCGCTTAACATCTGTGCAGAGCAGGAAGCCAGGGCCAAAACGGAACAACTATCTCCTGAAGAGTCGGAGCAGCAAGAACTACGCCGAAACACTAGAGTGTGACTCAAGACTTTTAGGAGCTGGAGTCCAAAAAACAAATCAGTAAAAATATTTTAGAAGCTGAAGTGAGTTCTGAGGGCGGCCAGAGCTCAGGTGGCACCTTTATGGTCCCGCTGCTTTATTTTATCCTTCAATCTTCTGAGACTAATCACTTTAACTGCCACACATTTGGGCTCCTTTCTTTACTGAACGTCCCAAATGGTTCCAGAGAAAAGAACTGACCATAAAAACAGAAAGAGAAGGTCCAGACTCAACCAATTAGTGTGCAAAAGTTTAGATCACAGAAGCTAAACGTGTGATATTAAATCAGGTTTTATTTCTGATTTTAATTAGAGTGCTTGCTTCTCTTCGCTGTAATGTTCCCACAACATGTTGCCTCAGACTTTAGAGGAATAACTGATGAGGAAGGCAAAGAAAAGTTAAGATATATTGATTTAAACTTTGTAAAACAAACAAAAATCCACATGCAGGTCAGCGATCTACGAGTAAGAACTAGTTTTACTCTTAAATAAACAGCAACTTAATTTACTTGGCCCTTAAAATTCACATAAACCGCTTTAGAAAGTTTCATTAATTTATTAACTGTAACTATACTACATTGTAATTAGCTTTTTTTTTTTTTAAGAAAAAATAGGAAGATATACAGAAATAAATAAGAATATATCCGTTTGTTATTTAAAATTGTATCTTCATATAATAAAAGTATCTATTTAACTAAAGTATTAGTCAGGTCTCTTATGAAGAAAAACTTACTCAAATGTATTTTTATGCTGTAAAATGTATTTTAATGTGTGTCCAACAGGACTTTTGTGCCTTAAGATAAATCAAGTTAATTGTGGGGTGAGTTTGGAGAAACCCCAGAGAGTTGCAGCTGCAGGAACCTGAACCAGAGTGAAGGTGGTTGTTGCGTTTTACAGATGTTTTAGTGAAAACTTGCACCGTGAAGAACTCCTCGTGGTCCTGCACGTGAGCTGCCCGCTCTGCGCCTTTATAATAACTGAACATTAAAACAAACACGAACTTGTGAACGGCGGGCGGAGTTCATCGGACTGTGATGAACTTCGGGAGCACCGAGAGGTTCATAAAGACAATCATTACAACACCTGGACTCACCTGGCTGGACGCCGCCTCCCCGCCTCCCGCCGCTCCTCCGGCTCCGCCCGCGCCGAGCTCCGGCAGCCGCCTCCGGCTCAGCACCAGCAGGTAAACCAACGCTCCCAGCCACACCAGCACCGCCACGGCCACCGCCAGCCTCCGACAGAGACGCTTCATTTTCCGGTCAGGAGGAGCCGGCGGCGCCCGCAGCCCGGCTGCTGTCAGAACCGCATTTTGTCCACGCGAGAAACAAACAAAACACGCGCCGCACAAACAACAACAACAACAACGAGGCGGGTCGGAGCCGAACCGCTGCCTGTCTGCTCCGCACCGAGCGCGCGCGCTCTGACAACTCTCCCAGGAGCTCGAGCGCTTCCCAGACACGCCTGACAGCCGGGCACGCGCGCGTGCGGGGCGAGGGTTGTGCGCAGGTCTGAGTCCTGCGCGGAGGTAGTCCTGGACCCTCCTGGAGGTCTGAACGGGATCGTGGAGCTCCACCTGCCGACACCAGAACCAGATCTGGACTGCTGCACCTCCAGGGTCCTGGGTCTGCAGGTTCTGCTGGAACAAGCACTCGAATCCTTCAGTCCAGAGCCAGCTGAGTCCAGATCCTGGATCTGGACCCAGCTTTTTAAAATCCAACATCTGGAGATCATCACGTGACCCAGATCTGCAGAAACTAACAGAAGAGTTCTGATCAATCACTCAGACCCTCAGATTATGTGTTGAGGACGACTCCCAGCTACCACACCACACTTCACCTGCAGAACTGACTTGGTGTTATTTAGCCATGGCGGCCATCTTGAAGTTGACTCCAAAGATCAATCAGCTGAAGCTTCTTCTGATCATCGTTCAGATCTGATCATAGCAGATATATCTAATAACTGTTTTATTAAAAGTTCCATGAAAATCCACCACAGGCCGTGAGATATTTTGCTAACAGACAAGCCAACAGGTAACGTTTTCAGCTAAAATATATTAACATATGGTGAACGAGGGATGCTCAGCTACTACCACACCAGATTTTAGCTGGTGTTTCTGTGTTTGCACAGCTGCATCTTAAATCAAGTCTAATCACTGATTGAATTCTGAGGGTTTCGTGTCCTCTGGCTCACGAGTCTTTTATGCAGGTAAATAAAAACATGATCACCTTCAGCCTTTAGGTGATCTGAATTACCTGAATTACCACGATTTCACCCACAATGCAGCACTCAGGTACCAAAGAGGTTAACTAGAAAACAGTTCAATGAAATGAACTTCAAACCTTCCACTTGTGGTTTGTATTAATAACTACACGAGTGTGAATCAATTAAAACGTGTTCCTAATATTAAGAGTCTTCTTGTGAAACGACTCCTGAAGTTAACTGTGTGAATCTTTACATCGTTCAGGTTCTACAAACTGCAGGTCTGGTTCAGATGGATTAAACTTGATCAATTCAGTGAAGTTATCAAACATCATAGCTCCATAATTTGGTTTTAACGTCTCGTTTCTTTCCAACATCAATCAAGTTTCCTGTTTCTGACTAAGAACTTCCATCTTTGGAATAAAGCTCAGAATGGCTCCAACCACCAGACCATGAAGTTACCATGTTGGTGTAATGCTAGAGATCTTTCTGTTTATTATAGATCACTGAGGATCAACTCAACAAGACGAGGTCACTCAGCTCCATGTGATCCCAACAAACTCAACTGTACAGAACAACTTTTGCAGCTGCTCCCACTGTGCTGTTAAAAAAACTGAAGAATAAAAGATGTGCATGTAAAGAAGTGAAGGATCAGAGGAAGACACATTTTATTTTTATAACAGAGACACTGACCCCACATTTTATTTCAATAAATTATTACACTGAGGATATAACTCTGTCTTAGAGCTCGTGAATAAAACATGTGGAGCAAAAATTAAAATGATTTCAGACACGAAGTGAAGTCGTTTTATGGTGTTGGTGCGCCCTCTGGTGGTTGAGCAGAGTAACTACAGAGGCAGCGCAAAGTTAAATGATTAACAGTGAAACAAGTTGTGCTCATGTTTTATAAATGCAGAACGATTTGAGTGAACAGATTAAAATGTTTCTACATCTAAAGATGATCTGATGAGCGCAATAAACCAACCAGAGGTGTTTAATCCAATAAACTGTCAGATGACGAACAATGTTGACTGCAACAAAAAGAAGAAATGATGGAGCACATGTAGATAAATCAGGACAAAGTGGTTTGAGAACTGAGCTGGGCTTCACTCAACAAAATGTTTTCTCTTTTAGTGCAGAACTTGTTGCTGTCACTTAAAACTCTGCATCCATGGCAAAGTTGATGGTGTGTAGCCATGGCAACACGCTTTAGTCATCCGTATACGTAAATATGCACCCCTGCCCCAAAATAAAATGTTAACTGTCTAAATAAGACTTTCCGTAAAAATGCTGTGAATGTTGAGCACCGAATAGCTGAAGATGAGTTATTAAAGCTAAAAGGAACAGAACACTAGCTAAAAATATAATAAAGTGGCTGCAGGAGAAAGCCAAAAGTAACAAGACTCTAGCTATGAGTAGCTAAAAAAAAAGCACCTTAAAGCTAAAGGTGTCAAAAAGTTATGGGGAAGCTTAAAACAACAAGTTAGCTAGTAAATTGCTAGCTAAAGTAAAGCAAAAATAAATAATTAAATAAATAAAGACTGTCTGAAAGCTAAAAGTAGTATCGGTATTCAAATGGACAGTGCGAGACATTTCCCCACTTCTTTGTAGAAACCGTTGTGCACCCCCAGGTTCCTCCACCGGCTCATGATCCATCCGTCTCGTCTGGATGTTTAGCCGTTTGACCACTTGCAGACCAGCTCACCGTCTTCTATGGAGCAGCCCATGTGCAGCATGAAGTTATGGTTCCCCCCTCAACTTAAAGGTCGTTCCTATTCTGGACCCCTCCATTGTTTAAGCTCAGGTGTGGTGCCATAAAGTTTCAAACATGCCTTGCCCCCCCAGTGGTGTCCAACTTTAGGCCTTTCTCCAACTCCCCATTTGTTTCCAGACGACTGGAGTTTCCTGGAGGAGCTTGGTTCTGGAGGTGTTCCAGTCTGGCTTTAACCTCACCAAAAGAATCTGCTCTGTGTTTAATGACAGCTTCTTAGCAGAGCTTAATTTGAAACTGATCGATGCCAGAACGCAAGCGGCAGGTGGGGGGGTACCTGTAGGTCCTCCCCCAGACAATTTTGAATAAAGTAGATGTGATTTCCTGCACTTTGGTGTATTTTATCAGGTTGTTACATACTGTACATGTTCATGCAGAGTATTTACACATGTAAGTAAACATGGATCTACGTTTACTTACATGTGTAAATACTCTGTTTCTACCGAGCATCCATCCCCCCCCCCCCCCCACACACCCCCTCACCTGACAGTTCCAAGCCCGACATTGTCCCTTTTTCATTCATCCTGTGGTGGTGGATGGGTTAAATGCAGAGACTAATTTCGCCATTGTATGGAAACATACAGTGCTGACATTGTGATGACATTATTATTATTATTATTATTATACAGGTTAGTCTCATTGAGCCTCACAAGAGACTTTTTTTTTTTTTTTAAACAAGAATGAAGACAAGAGTAAACAACAAAGTCAACAGACAATCAAAATAAAGCTTATAAATTGAGAAGAATAAATGGAAGAAAAATGAAGAAAATTATATTTAAAAATGAAACAAAAACAGCTAGATTGTAAAGCGATGTAGAAAACTATAAAACTAAAAACAGGAACATGTCTGTGTTGGCTCTTGTCAGGAACTTAGATGTTTGAAGCCACTTAGAGAGGTCAAAGGTCGAGAGCTTCAGATCTTTTTGCAAGATCTTCCAGGAAACGGGAGCGGAGTAGGAGAAGGACCTTTGGCCTAGTTCAGTCCTCACTGGGGGGTCCCTGCTCGTTGTTGTTCGACTGCACACGGCACCTCCAGGTGCCTGCCTGCGGCTGTGAGCTCCTGCCTGGTTAGCTCGGCACTCACCCCACCACTCTTTTAGGAGCGGGGACAGACGTTGGGATGCTTCTTGAAGAGGCCGCTCGTAAGTGGCTGTTGTGTTTAAAATAAGTGTTTACATCATTATTTTCAGTTGCATATCCAATTAAAGTTTTGTTCATTCAAGGCAGTTAAATTTGTTCATAACATTATTATTAGTAAGCCTGAGAGTTACTGGAAGGCACCCTGTCAAAATAAGACGAGTTCCCGGATCCTGTTCCGGCAGGATCCGGCTCAAATTAAGCCCCGCAGTTCCCAGCCATGGATGCTGGTGACTCTGTGCTTCTTGTCTCATCTGCTTTTGACACCACTGACCGTGGGATCCTCATTTCCAGGCTGGAGCAGTGGGCAGGCCTCAGATCAGCTTCTACCTCCCTGATAGAACGTTTGTGTCTACGTCAAGGATTTTATTTAGACACCGTCAGCTCTTTGGTTGTGGGGTACCGCAGGGCTCCATTCTTGGACATCTTTTCTTTATACCTGCTAGCCACTAGGTGCTATTTTTCATGAACACAGCATTTTGGGAAGAAAAAAAAAAATCTGTTTTTTGTTACTTTTTTTTTGTTTTAGCCATCTTATTTGTAAAAAGAAAAAGCTGTATGCCTTTTTATAACTGTCTATTGTTGCTGTTGTCCATTGTTGTCATCTTTCTTTGTTAAATCAGGTCTCTCTTGTAAATGAGTCCTCGAGGCTGAATGGGATGTCTAAATAAAGGTTGAATGAAATTCCTTTTCATTTCTATGCTGACGACTGTCAAATTTACTTCCCTCTGAAGCACACTGGTGCACGTTCTCTCTCGCTCTCCTCTCGACTGCCTGGCTGACATCAGGGACTGGATGGCTTTAAAATGCTTAAACTTTAATGAGAACAAGACAGAAGTCATGTTGTTTCTTCTTAACAGCACAAAGAACCACCGTATGGACCTTTCCTCTTTAGCCCCGTTAGAGAAACAATTGTCACTAATCTGGGAGTGAAAATGGATCCTTCCAAACAGTCGATTGTTAAATCCTGTTTTGTTTTTTCAGTTGAGGCGACTCTCTAAATTGAAGCCCACACTGTCCAGAGGTAACATCGAGACCATTACACATGCTTTCATATCATCCAGGCTTGATTACTGCACTGTGCACCTGTTTCACCTCTGTTGCACATTTACAACTGGTTCAAAATGCTGCAGCCTGACTTTTAACTGGTACAGGGAAAAGAGAGCACATTTCTCCAGTTTTGGCCTCTGGCTCCCAGTTCACTTCCAAATTCATTTTCAAATCCTTCTGTCCAAAACTGTGGAACGACTTCCCACTGCAGGTCAGGTTGGCAAATTTTGCACAGAGACAAATCAGTTCTGGTTTATTTATAAAACAGTATCAACATATTCTTGAAATTTCATTACATGCAGAACTAATGACCTTGTTTTGTCCCATTTCATTAAATGTTTTAGTGCATTGGGATATACGTGTCACCCGTGATGGGTGCTGCAGCACCCTCCACATCACACACCTTGGGTTTGGATCACACAAGTCCACATGGTTCTAGTCTCCTCTTGTTGGAACCTGAAGCTGAGTTATAAAGTTGTTTCTGGATTATAATCCAGGCCCGACTCCTGCAGAGCTGCAAACATTTTCATATGGGCCAAAACAGTCGGGATGAAAACGCCACCCGGCCACAAACATGTGAATTTATAAAAAATAAATTAAATCACAAACATTTTTGGTGGTTTTGAATCTCAACAACGGTGGACAACATTTTGGAGCAAGCTCGGAATCGTTGCAAGCTTCAAAACATTAATTTTAAAATATGTTTTAACAATTTATTTGGTTTGTTGTGTCTGATGATAAAGCGTAATGTAAATGTCACTAAAACGGCATCGGTTTTGGACCCTCGACCCAAAAAGCTGAAGTTCTGTAAAAACGAACATCTGGCAGTCGCTAAAACTGATTCATAGGTTTGACGGGACTTTAATAATCCACTTGTATGTAGACGATACTTTATATTGCTTTTAAAAATCTGTTTCCCCTTTATTGATTAAATCGACTGCAACATTTTACTTTGAAAACACGATATTCAGACACGTTTTATGAATGATGATCCAAACGTCTTGTAGGTAGAAGTCAAAAGGCATGTGGTGCTTTGTACCATGAAAATTACAATTGTAGCCAAAGATGTTGCTCATTTTGAAAATATTTTCTCTTCATCCGTTTTGGTGTTAAACCTAAAAATTACATTTACAATAAAATTATAACTTAAAAAAGTATTACCTTTAAATTAGCAGGTCAACATGATGCAATCCTTAAAGAGCAGCCGGGGGCTGTACTTCAGACACACACGTACAAGTACCCTGAAGCTGCTCAATGATCCAGGTAGAAATATCTAAAACAAGTTAAATCTGCTCCTCTGGACATTCACAAAAAAAAAAAAAAAAAAAATGTAGAAACGTCTCGGCTTTCATCCAAAAGACTCCGTCTGAAGAAGTCTTCTGGATGAAAGCTGAAACATTTCTACATTTTTATTGTTTTGAATGTCCAGAGGAGCAGATTTAACTTGTTTAGATCCATGAAGAAGGTTCTCCTCTTTCAGAGTGACCTTCTGGTTCTTCTCCTTCTGAAGGCTCTTGTACCCCGACCGCTCGGGTGCCAGCTGTGGGAGTCCTGGTGGTTCCAGATGGAGGCCACTGGGCTCAGTGGGACCTTCAACACTGAAGACTTCCTCAGATCGGTGTCTCGATACGATCCGGTCGGTGACGCGTCTCTTTCCTAATCCTGTCTAATCTATTAAAGTTACAGAGTGTGGACGAGTTGGAAACATCTGGAGGAGGATCGGTGGAAACAGGAAGTACTGAGTATAAACCCATTTAACAAAATAAAACTGCATCTAATTGTCAATCCAGAAAGATGTTATTTATGTCTCTTTAAGAAAAAAAAACAGTTCTCTAAATAAATACACAAACACAGATTGAACATCCTCTAATCCAGTTTAATGTCCTCAGCAGAAAAATGGAACACGATAAAATTAAAAGAAAAATAAAGGACAGAATTATGTTCTTGCTTTATACATTTAACTAAATACGCCACTCTATGCTAGGGTGTAAGTAGGTCAAACTGATATAAGGTTAAATAAACGTTTCTTTAAGAAGGTACAGAAAGATTTATTCTTTTTTCTGTTTCTCGTTAGCACTCAAAAACAAAAGAAACTTAGAAGAAGGAGAAACCGACGATAATCCTCGCAGTTGTCTTGTCACCGGGCACGGGAGGTGGAGGAGGAGAAAGAGCGTGTGCGTGAGGATTAGCATAGTAAAGTGGTGTTTCAGGGGCTTCCAGCCCGGATCAAGTTTTACACAGTTCACTGTGAATCATTAAAAAACGACCGTGTCGAGTCGGAGCTGCAGCTTTCCAAACATGGTCCTGACCATCACTTCAGGTGGGCTGCAGACCCTGGACCTGTTTTTAACAGACTTCTTCGTGTGCAGCTGCTAAACGCCCAAAATCAAAACCAAATCCAAGGAAATTCAAAATAATTAAAGCGACTAAAACGAGAGAAGCAAAACGCACGGCACCAAGTCCAGCAGTCAGACTGCGTCGGGGGGTTCAGGGCGAGGTCGGAGCGGGACGATTCATCAAAGACTGAAGCCACTGGAGCGTCGTGGACACCTGAAGGAAGAGGCGTCTGAACCTGGGACGCCCAACACGACAAACCCACGACGTCCGAGAACTACAGGAGCTGATCGTGTCTCTGCTGAATCAAACATTTCTGTTTCCTAATTACTCCGGTTGTTCAGCTCAGGGATGCACACGTACTACGATACTGTGTACTTGTACGTGAAGGTTTTTAACACTCCAGTACTGACGCCACTTCAGGTGGGTGGGGTGTTTGGCTCTCAGCTGAGCAGTCCCGTCCACCATTAGGACATTAGGACAGGACACCCAGCAGGACTCGTAGAGGGTTACCAACACCAGCGTGGTCTCCTCGTGCACAGGATCCCGACACGTTCACCGCTCACTCTGTCGGCCTCATTTGAGGAGGTAAAGTTCCTCAAACCCATCTTCACAGTAGTTTTATGAAGTGTAACGTCCGTACTTATATCTGTACCAGCAAGTACTTGTACTCTGTAAAAAAACTGCATCTGTCCCCAGTTTAGCTCTGAAACGAACCGATGAGCTTATCGTCACGGCGACGTCACAGAACTGAACCTAGTCTGGAGGGTCTGCAACCTTTTCCACCACAAACAGACATTTCTGGCCCCGACTGAAATAAAGCGGCGTCTATTTGTATCTTAAACATGAAATTTATGACAATTTGTTGGACGTTTAATTAGATAGGATCAATTTTCTTAATGGATGATGGAATTTACTTGAAGTTTTTTATTACATTGTATGAAAGATGGGCCTTCACTTCAGTTCTCAGAATAACTTGGACAAATATGTTTTGATTTCCTGGTGAATTTTCAAAATAAAACCACACGTTTTGGCTGAAAGTTAAATTAACTTGTTGATAAATTGGCTAAGGATCGAACAAACTGGTCGTTTCTCAATTTTCTGTTACAGAAATATTCATTTTGGCAGAAAACTGGGCAACGGCAGCACAATTAGCTTTTCTTATTGTGTTCTAAATATAAATAATAATTTTCATGTTATTTCTGGTCTAAGCTACAAAGAGCCACAGCAGAGGAACTGAAGCGAGGCCCCTCACGTGGCCCCGGAGCCACAGGTTGCACACCCCTAAGTCGAAACTCACAAAGCAGAACTTGTTTAAATGGAAATCAATAGATTACATCCCAAACAGATTTCTAAAAGGAAACAGTAACTAATAAAACGTACGTTGATCTTTTTAGGACATTTTGGTAAAGAACTCTTCCGGTGAACACAGAAGTTCGGTCGTGTTCAGACGGTTCCACCCAGAGACCGAGACAAGAGGGAAGTGGAAGATCTGCTCCAGAGGGTCATGTGAGCGACTCTTGTCCGTTAGTGTTTTTAATGTTTGTCGAGTCCGTGAGAGCAGAGGCGGGGCTCGGCTGCGTCCTCCTCCATCACGCTGAGATCAAGCAGAAATAAAAACAGTGAATCACCATCACAGCCACACACACGAAGAATCACACCAGGGCAGCGTGGACTGCCTCGTGCCACCACGACACCCCCGCACCTGCACAGGTACGGTGCTGCAGGGAACCATGCAACGAGCACCACGGTCACGACGCTGCGCACGGAGCCAAGCGTCCGTGGAAGAAAACAGAAGGCGGCGGGGTTGCAGGTTTGGTGGTCCGGCCGTGGGACAGAGCTGCACCCTCACACCGACGGACCCGAACGAGCGCCGCACGACGACAGTTCGCTCAACTTCCGGTTCTGAACCAAGAAAACGGCGTTGGAGAGGAGACGGTGGCGAGATGCAGCAGAGCTGTGCGTGATGTGTGTCTGACTGGATCTGCGTCCTCCCTCTGACGGTGGGGGTCGGGTTAAGGCTGTGTGAACATGCGGTGCTGAGTGCGCCCCCCCCGCTGCGCCAGCGGTCCGGAGCAGAGTCCAAACAGAAGCTCCGGACGGGGAACCAGGACTTCCAGAGGGTGGTGCCACGCTCGGATCCAGAACCATCGGGGCAGATGCAGGATGTTACAACCAGAACCCCTTCCCTCCACCCTTTTGTTACCCCCCCACCCCTCCCCCCCCCCCCCCCACCCCCCCCCCCCACCTCCTCCCTCACTTTGCAAGTGCCTCATCTCTTACGGGTCAGGGCGCGGCCCATCAGGAGCACTCCTCCCCGATGCGTTGGCACGAGCGGCCCACCTTGCGGTCCAGCTTCACCATCTTGAGGACGGCCTCCTCGCGCCCGCGGCCCAGGTGGTCGAACACGCAGTCGTGCTGCTCAGGTAGACGGTGCAGCATGCAGAACACGTAGCCTGGAAGACAAACACGCGCAGGTTAGCTGACGGCTAACCACGACGGCAGAACCTCAGCGAGGCTGCGACACCGACCGCAGCGGCAGGAGCCCAGTTCCTGCTGCACCAGCTCCAGCTTGGTTTGGCAGCGGTAGCAGCGCCGGCGGTTCTTCTGCTTGGGCGTCCCGCGGGCCTCTTCGCCGCCCCCCTCCTTGTCGTCCGTCCGAGGTCGTTTCTCCGGCGTGGCCTCGCTGTCCGAGCCCGAGGCTGGAGACAGTGGGCGGGGCTTAACGTGGGGCAGATCACACAGAGCTGCTGGCAGGAGGACGGAGGCCGTACCCGACTCACGTGGACGTTTTGTGGGTGTGCACAGCGTGCCCTGGGCCGTTTCTGTGGACGTCACGCCTGAAGGTGGAAAGACACGAGACGAGAGACACGTGAGGGGGAACTCGGGACTCGAGTCCTGTTGTTTTGCAGAAACACGACAACAAGCGGCGAGCGCACGACGCTCCCTTCAGACCTGGACCGTCGTGGGACACGAACATTTCTCACATTAATGAACTTCAGAGTGAAGCAGGAAACCAAACTGTAAATGGATCCTCAGCACCAGAGTTTAATCTTTTAAAAGTTTACAAACTGATATTTAAGAAGCTCTAATGAACGTCGACCTGAAAATAATTATCTGTGGAGTTCTGCATCGTCGTTTTCTACAAACGTTTAACAGAAAAGGGACATTTCTGTGAAAAAATAATAAAAATGTGATATAACGGGTGTTAAAAGCAACATTTTAATGGCTCAGTGGTGGAAAGTGACCCAGTTTAAGGACTGGTTTAGAAGCTAAACTGGCTCCGCACCTGGAAAATTAAAAAGGGGCGCCCTGTTTGTACGACGGTGGGGAAATGCTGCATATAAATAAACATATTTAATATATTTTAAACGCTTGAATGTTTTCAAAGAACTGAAACGCTGCTGCACTTTTGTTCAAAGTCGTCACGTCATTTCATTCTTGACTATTCATAAATCTGTTATCGTTTATTTAAACATCATATAACGGGGCAAATGAAAAATGTGATTACGTCATTAAAGAAGAAAAATAATTGGAAAAACAAAAAGTTAAGAGAATTTAAAACATTTTAAAGAGCTCTACTTACGAACAAGTCTGAATGTTTGAACCCGTTCAGAGTTTTGAGTTGAATATTACAAAAAGACAAAATGTCTATTAAAACCTGAAAACTAAATATATTCATAGAGAAATGCGTTTTATTTATTCTGGTTTTATTTTGTCAACGCGTCAGCTCCTATTAAAGAAAAACATCTGATCCTCGTCTCTGTTACATTTAGACAAAAGGCCGAGGTGTACGAACTGTCCCACCATAAAACCATCAAGCTGCCGTCAGGAAGGAGGAACCAGTGAGGAACCAGTGAGGAACCCACTGGTGGCGATCACCTCCTGCTCTCTGCAGCGCTCGCTGCTGCTTTAATTTAAAGAGCGCTTCAGAGATTCAGGGCCGCACCAGTTCGTGTCCAGCTCCGTTTCCTAAACCAGTCTACATGCCTGAACTTTCCACTGGTGAGAAGACGAAAAGAACAAACTGTTCAGTCTCTTCTCCTTTTCCTGAAGATGCTTTAGATAAATACTGGACTGCATCATTCAGCCGTGGGAGCCACCTCACGGTTCAGCAGAAGCCACATTAAGCAGATTATTTTGTCGGTTTATAAAACACCGGTCGTACCTTCTGTCCTGCTGGAGAACATGGACGAGGGCTCTTGGGCTGACGGAGGCTCCGAGCCGGAGGGCAGCGACAACGATAGGGCTTGGCTACTGCTACTGCTGGTCTCGCTACTGAAAACAGGCGATGGGCTACTCCCGGTGCTTTGGATTGGCTTGGAGGTGCAGTCCTCCTCTGGCTGCTTCTTCTGGACGTCTGAGACGGAGGACAGAGGACAGTGACCGCAGGACACGGACAAACCACAACACACAAACACAGGAGGGAAGACGTGCTACGCCCATGTTCCCCGTCGCTGAAGGATATAAATAGTGAATGTTTGTATTTAGGAGTGTTTTTCTGGACTGGAGTGGCACATGGGATGAACCTCAATGGTTTTCAACAAGACATTAAAGTGGGAGGAGCTACACTGTGGAGAACTCAGGAAGTGCTTTTTGGTTTTTCTTGTCCGAGATGATGCAGAGTGATGGATCCTGGTGAGTGGAATTTATTCACCACCACGTGCAGTGCTGGAGCCAGGGGGTGGCCAATGGTGGCCTTGGCCCCCATAAATTAATCTTCTGCCATTCCAGTTATTTGAGGAAACGACACCTTCAAGCAAAATAAAACTAGAAACCATGGTGGTTTCCTCACATCATAGAGGTTGTTCTCATATTTTATTTATTTCCCACCACCCCTCTTCATTTTGCGACGGAAGACAAAAAGCAGAGAAATAAACCCCAGAAAAGTTGTGAAAACACTGTGACCCAGCTCGAACTCATCTCCTCCTTACGGTTTCCTCTTCCAACAGATGTGAATGGTCGTTAAACAGTAACCAGTTGGAGCATCGTTAGCTTCTTTAAAGGAGAAAATCCACATCAACTGTGGGTGAAAACGCAAACGGAGCTCCATCAAATGACCCTGCACAGAAAACGGTACGAGGAACCAGTCTCAACTTTCCATGAGCTCGTTGGTCAAACAGGAAAATTAACCAGCGATCCCTTTGAGTAATGGATATTTAAACCAGTTTGTTTTGGATTGGAAGAAATCTTGGGTTTTAGGTTCTGCAGATGTTCTTTTGGCTTCTTATCACATAAACTACAATTTAATTAAACACCTAACATTCCTTAAAGGATTAAATCTCACCCGCCACCTTCTCTGCCAGTTTGAGTGATGGCTCCAAACAGTGGGCTCAGTGGGCTCAGTGGGCTCCAACATCATCTCGTGGTGTTTGGCAGCAGCGAGACTCGTCCGTCTTAGACACGACTCATGAGACGGCCTCGCCTCCGTCTTCACTGAGAGCTCAGAGACGTCTGCCTCCGTTTTCACACAAACACTTTTAACTTAAGACTTTCAAAGATGCAGAACAGTTCCCGTGTTTCTCTGAATTGCAGGACCATAAATTACAGAGCGAGATCCTGGACTCTGCTCAGATTTGATCCAACGTGCAGATGTTTTACTTCAGAGGAGTTGAGGGACGTCAGAGCGGGTCTGCCTCTTTCACCTCCTTCTGCTCAGCGTCCGTCCTCGTGTGTATCGAGTCTATTCTGAGCAACTGTCGGGCCGGGCCCTGCGGTCCTCCCAGTCTGCAGCGCTCCACGGTTGCCATAGCTACAGACGGAGCCACAGTGCATCTTCATCTGGTCCACCTCAACCAGCCGGGAGACGACAACAACTTCTACACATGTTGAAACTTAAAGTAATTGTACTCATTAAAGTACAAAATGGTCTTTGAACTTTTTGTGTAACGTCCTGGAAACTTATTGTTCTTGAAGTGTTTTTGTGCGACTGTGGCAGCAATATTGTCCTTTCTCCTGAGCAGGACTTGTGAGTTTGAACATCTGGAAGTGAGAATAAACGACAAAAGGCGGCTTGAATCAGACGTGGAGCCGTTTGCATCGTTCTTATTAGAGACGAGCTGCCGTCGCCCCAGACGCGCGCAGGGGACCTGAAATGCACTCGTGCACGCGGGAGTTTGAATCTTTGGAGTAAAATGTGGCACCTCTGTAGTCAAGCAACAGCTGTGCAGGTTGGATCACTGGAGAGCAACATCGCAGCAGCAACTTGTTCAAACAGGAACACACTCACAAACAAATAAACAAATAAACATCAACGTGTTGTTCACACGTCTGAAAACAACCAATCACCTGAAAGTTGTCGTTAACGTCTCGATTTAATTAAACTCTCAGACATTAGGTTTAGAAAAGAAACATCACAAGCAACAACTTTCTGATCACTCAGTCTAATCAATCAGCATTTAATCGTTCAATCGTTAGGGCCGAAAAACTGAAGAACTAAAACTGAATTATAGTCGAACAAAAGGTTAAATCTGTGACGCTGAAGGTTTCAGTTAACACGGTTTTATCACAAATTCCACCCACCCATCCATCCATCCATCCATCCATCCATCCATCCATCCATCCACCCACTGTGCCAGAGGCGGGGGACACTCTCTGTCCATCATAGAGACAAACGAGACATTCATTCTCTCTCTCACCTAGGGACAATTGAGAGTTCCCAATCAGCCTAACGTGCATGTTTTTTGGTCTGTGGGAGGAAACTGGAGCACCCGGAGAAAACCCACGCAGTATAGAGAGAACATGCACACTCCACCCAGAAAGGCTCCGGGCCAGGAATTTAACCGGCGACCTTCTCACCGAGAGTCGGCAGCTCTACCAACTGCGCCACCGTGCCGCCCTATCAAACAGTTTCTGATGGGTCTGTTGCTAACTTGAACAGAAACAGTCGTTTTTTTTGTCTCACTTCCACGATGACACGACTCGTCAGCTGCACCGTCCAACCACAACACAACTTTTGTCACACGCACCAAAAAAAAAAGAAGAAGAAAAAAGGTTTAAAAAAAATTTAAATAAATATTTATATATAAGTAAATAGAAAAGGAGCAAAAAGTTTAATCCACTCAAAAGAAGGATCTAAAGTCCATCCATTCATGTAGTCTCTGTTAATTATTTTATCACCTTTTTGTGTTTTACAACCTTTGTTGGGAGATGAAATGCAAGCGTACCCTGGAATAATCATAAAATAAAACGTTTAAAATGAATATATTGAGACTTACCAGCAAAACATTTGGAGCAAAGGTTCATAGTTTTACTTGACCTGTGAGGACAGCAGAAATTGCACAAGTTAATAAATGTTTCAAAAATCCATCCTTTGCTAAAATGTTTCTGTCTACTTGACAATCAAGGTCTAATTAAAACAATAGATTGAAGACAAAACGGTCATTAAATCAGAATCACGGGCAGTTTACGCCGCTGGTCAATAAAAACAAAACCATTAAATAACCGTTTCCCTTCCCTGGTGTCCAATAACCGTGTCACCGTTATTGGGCTGAATAAACGATATCTTAGAAGACAAAAACAAGTTATGAAATGTGAAGAAATCAATCGACCGGTTATTCCTTTATTAACATCTCAAACAACAGTTCGGAGTTAAACAGAACACCTTATGTAAACCCGTCCACGCCCAGGAGCCTTGTTGTGTTCATTATTATGGAAGAGGAGCTTTAATGTCATCAGAAATTCAAGTCATAATCTGTTGTTTTACACCAGAATCATTTCGTTTTAATGAAGTCATTCATTTGACTTTTAGTGTTGATGAATTATTGTCGAGCTTCAGCACAAACAGGTCTGTGCTACTCACCTAGTCATGCAGATTTCTGATAAACTTGGGTCAACACCATTTGTCTTTGTTAAAATGATAAACATCCTTCTTAAAACATATTTTAATAAAGGTGAGTTCATCTATTTTTACATGCATTGTACTGTGAACATGTAGAATATTCTGTGAACAATATCTCCGTCTCCTACCGCTTATCCGTAGACGGTTCGCGGAGGCAACAGGTCCAAGGAGAGGAACACAGACCGCCCTCTCCCCACCGTCACTTTCCAGCTTGTTCTTGGGGACCCCAAGGTGTTCCCAGGACAGAGAAGATACACAATCCCTCCAGTGAATTCTGGGGCTTCCCCAGGGCGTCCTACAGATGGGACGTGCCCGGAATACCTGTAAAGAAAGGCGTCCAGGAGGCATCCTAATCAGAGGCCCAAACCACCTCAACTGACTCCTTTCGATGCGGAGGAGCAGCGGCTCTACTCCAAGCTCCCCACGGATGATGGTGCTCCTCACCCCATCTCTAAGGCTGAGCCCGGCCACCCTGAGAAGGAAGCCCATTTTGGCTGCTTGTATCCATGATTTGCATCATGATCTAAACCTCAAGCCCAAAGGTGAGGGTCGGTGGTACATAGACAGACCAGTAAATACAGAACTTTGCCTTTCGAGTCAGCTCTTCCATGACTGACTGAACTGACACCCTTATTAATGAGGATGAGGCCCCAATCCGTTGATCCATCTTCTGCTCCATCCTACCATCACTTATGAACAAGATGACCAAATACTTTAACTCCTCCACCGGAGGTAAACACTCTCCCCTGATCCGGAGGTGGCATTCCACCTGTTACCAGTCGAGAACCATGGTCTCAGACTTTATGGAGCTGACTCTCATCCCAGCTGCTTCACACTCAGCAGCAAACCACCACAGTGCACGCTGAAGGTTTTGGCCTTAGGATGCCAACAAAAATACAGCATCCGCATAAAGCAGAGATGTGACCCTGAGGTTCCCAAACCAGACACCCTCCTCTCCATCACTGTGTCTCCAGATCCTGTCCATGAACACCACAAACAAGATTGGAGACAAGGGGCAGCCCTGGCGGAGTCCAACCCGCACTGGGAATGCGCTTGACTTTGTGCCAAGAATGTGGACATAGTGCCTTCTTTTGTTATACAGCTTGACGGCCTCCATCAGCTCTGCCCCTCTCTTAACCCAAGTATCCAAGATATAGGGCCGCAGTTCTGATGACATGATTACAAAATTAATCATCAACTTTTGACCTAAGATGGCCTGGTACCAAGGTATTTGCTATGGACAACATATGCGTAGCATAGAAGTCCAATAGCAAACACTATTTGGGTTCAGATCAGGGAGGACGTTCCTTACAATAACCCCCTTCCAGAATTCAATTATTTAAATAGCGCCAAATCACAACAAAGTTGTCTCAGGGCACTTTACAGGAACATTCACATACATAGAAAAGCCAATTAGTAAAGTTCTCTATCTAAGGAAGCCAGAAGACTCCCATCATTGCCCACATGGGCATTGAAGTCACTTAGTAGAACGATGGAATCCCCAGATGGCACCCCTTCCAGGACACCATCCAGAGACTCCAGAAAAGCCAGGTAATCTGAACTGATGTTCGGTGCAGAAGCACAAACAAGTCAGAACCTTCCCTCCTGCAGCCTGAATCTGCAGAGACAAAACACTCTCATTCACCAGGGAGAACTCCACCACCGAGGCCTCTTTCCCTGGGCAACCCCAAAGCAGAAGAGTCTAGCTGGTCTCCAGGTGTTGGGTTCCAGAGCCCAAGCTGTGTGTAGAGGTGAGCCCAACTATTTCAAGTTGGTACCGCTCAACCTCACACACAAGCTCCGGCTCCTTATCCTCCAGTGTCGTGACATTCCACACCCCTAGCGCTAGTCTATGCCACGCGGAATCAGCATGGCCAGAGACCCTCCCTCACCTAACGCATGACATACACAGCACGCATCCTTGACAGACCTCTCAGCAGGTGGTGGGTCCATATGGAGGGAGCAATCTGTTATTTCTTCCTGTTTTGCCAGGCCGAGCCCCTGGAAGCTCGACCACCAGGCGCTCGCCGGTGAGCTCCCCACCAGGTCTGGCTCCAGGGAGGTGCCCCGGTGTCCCTTTTCCACGTGAGGTTTCCTGATGCATTTATCGTTTTCATCAAGGTTTTGAATCGCTCTTAGTCTGACCCCTCCCACGAGGCCTGTTTGCCATGGGAGACCCTATCAGGGGCTGATGCCCCCAACAACATAGCCCCCAGGATCACAAGGGTACTCAAACCCCTCCACCACGTTAAGGTGGCGATTCTGCGGAGAGGAATATTCTCAATCGATATTTGGAAATAAAAAAATAAAACGGACTAATGTTAATTTGCGCTGCCACTTTAAATCTTAGCAGATTCGTTGCTGTGTAGTTCTGTGTCCCAGTAATTACCATAGCTTCCTGTATTAAAAAAACACGTTAGCTAAGTTCTCACATCTTTTTCATATTTTCTTCGCTGAATCCTGAACAAAACCAGTCTGTGAATAATAACTGAAGTTATAACGTGACTGTCTTTATTAATGAATTGGAAATTTTTGATTTGCGTTTAAATTTCCAGTGATGCTAACACAACGTTAGCTTTTCGGAGGATTTTTCAACGTTAATTTATCATTCATGCTAACTGTTGGTCAGCAACCGTGAACTGATATGTCCATGTGTAAATTTATATTTGTTTCTGGATTTCATTTTCACAGTAATTTAAGTAAACAATTCACACAAACCTTATAATCTAGAGGCATCGACGATCGTTTTATAATCCCATCAGAGCTGTGTGAACCATAATCTAATCAAACTGCGAGAGGCCTAAAGATTCCCAGCCCTGCATTTTCTTAGGTAAACACATTTTATAAATGGCTCTTCTGTAACGTGATGCTGATTCAAAGACAATGGCCGGCTGTTCGTCCCTTACAGATTAACGTAATCAAACTTAAACAATGAGGAACGTGATGAGCTTTCCTCTCTCATCGCTTTATAACGACTGTTAGAACGTCAGCTTGAGGCACATCTTTCCCTCACTTTCTGGCAACGTCTTTAATGTCCACACCAACACAATACTCCACGCTGAACCATTTCTGTCAGCGTTCAGTCCTCAATAGCCAAACGCTGGAACTTCATGGGTTATTCTGCTCATTGTTCCAACATGTGACTGAAGTCTCTGTTGGCTTTGACGTTAGCCAAGGTGATGATTGTTAACCTGCTTTTTCTGCTGCATTTGAATGACAGCAAATTAAATGAATTTACACAAATATTTCAGACCCAACGCTACTAAAGATTTGCATGACCTGGTCTTTATCGTTTTAAAGCCCCAACAGACAAACTGCCGGCTTCAAATGCCCCAAGCAGACGACAAAGGTATAAAACTTTAGTAGTGGATGGATTTATTACACCCAGTAGTTAAAACAAAACCGAACACCACTCGGTCTTGGATGAGATACAACAGGAGACGGTTTCAGGGATTGTTTTGAACTGGATATACTGCAAGGTTTATTAATGTCAGCAGGTTAGGGTCATAGTTTTCATCTCTCTTATGCAATTAGTTTTATGATTATTTTGATTTTCATTGTGAAAGTTGGCATTTTAGTTGCATTACAACTGTTGTGTTTTTTATTTTAAGGTGAAAAAACACAGCAGATATGCAAAAATGAAAATAAAATAGTTACAGTAAGTACTTGTACAGCGTGGGAAGTACCTGGAACACCTGCCTCGTCCATTACCTGGCGAGTACTAGGCTGAATTAATGCTACAAAAATTTAAAATTGTTGTTGTCAACCTTAATCAAGAAAGTTATTACACCCTACTGGAGAGTGTGCAACTTTAGAATTACCATTAAAACATTGAAAAAAACTTGTTATCTTTGAAAACGTCAGATTTTAAAAGTACAACTTGTACAAACAAGTACACTGAAATATTCACAACTTCAAATGCCACGAAGACTGGTTAACAAACCTAAAGTAAGAAACAAAATCCACAATATTTTACTGATATTAATGGTGAATGTGACCTTAAACTTAAAAATATGTAAGAAACATTAGTGACCACGTGCTTGTTGTGCATGTACAGAAACAAAGTGACGGTATGAGTAGGTCGACAGCAGCACCAATGGAAACAGCAGTCTGGGATGGTTATCATATTGCCCCGTGGTGGATGATGCCAGTGGCAGGCCGGGTAGACAAGTATTCAGATTCCCAGTCCTGCTGGTGTCAAGTCCAGGGCTGAGCGTCCACCTGTACTAGGTACGATCTAAAGTGCACACGAAAGAAACGCCTGGCACACATCAAATCTAGTGGGCAACTCGTTCAGCTACTAGAGGGCCTGAACAGGAGTTAAATTAATATTCAAATGTTTGAACATTCAACTACAGCTGATACAGTAAATTTATCAGTTCGGCCAAGTTGCACTCCACCTCCCGCTTGATCCCAGATTTTTAACCTTCACAGTCGATTTTTATTCACACGTAGTTGCAGATTCACGTCTTCTTGAGGACGTCCTACTTGTTGGGACTCCTCCGTGTTGTTAACCCATACGGCCAGCCTAACGCAGGTCAGTCACGTGACTCGAGCGTCCACACGGTTCCCTACAGAGCCAAAGTACACGATGTGCGTACTCGCACTTCAGAATTACATATACGTGGAAAAACTACAGGAGTAAAGTCAGACTGAATCGTTTGATATAGTTCAGGATATAATGTTAATGTTTTATAATTTATCATGATCAAAGTACAACTTAGAGCTTTAAGACGTGATCTTAAACCAACAAAATGCAGTTAACAGTTGTCACACAACTTAAAGGTGTTGCGTTCAGGATGGCGTGGGACAGAACAGCAGCTCCACTTCGTCACCTGACATTGACAGGTGGGTTTGGTTCGCAAACTAGACACCACAAAATGAGGCCAAACTGGCAGAGGGGGTCTAGTTATGAAACGCCAACACAACATTGTTGTGTGTTGATGAAACCTCAGAACACGAGTGTTGTATTCCTGCCACCCAGAAATCATTACCAAATAGATCCGTTCACTTATGAAACTGAGATAAACTCACTGGTTTGGGAGAATTTAACGCAGGGGTGTCAAACTCAATTACAAAAGGGGGCCAAAATTAAAACCTTTGTCAAACTAAGGGCCGGTTTCAGAATCTACATTAACTCAAGTTAGATACCCAACATCTTTTCTTGGTGACAGGTTCCTCAACAAGAGTTTGATTGGTCTCGTGTGACGTCCTCTGTTGCACTTTTGACATCATAATCAAAGATTACTGAAAAAAATATATTAAATGATAAAAGTATTTTACATTTAAAATAACATCTTGGGGGCCAGATAAGATGTCAATGAGGGCCACATCTGGCCCCCGGGCCTTGAGTTTGACACATATAGCATCAAACTGAATTTAGTCCTGTTTCCAATCACTGAATCAACGAATCACTGAATCAACGAATCACTGAATCACATCCGGTTTGCAACACACATCCACTATTTCTGACAAGACACGAAGGGTGTAAAACAAGCAGAAAAAAAAGCGCTTTAAACGCGCGTGTGTTGAATAAAAGTGTGTTTTATTTACTAAGAGTTTAGTATTTATCATTAAGAGCCGGTAGAAACACGGCACGTTTGAAAAGAACCTGCTGGCAATAAATCATCTCCCATTTCGAGTCCGTCATGTCCCGGGTTTAAAAACAGCCTTTGAACGCAACCCAGCCTGGTTCTGGACGACTCGTCGTCTTTAAGGAGCTCCATCTTCACAAAAGTTGTACATTTGATGGGTTTTAACTCGTTTTCGCGAGCTAGGATCGGTTTATTTGTAAGCTAACTTCCCAACCCCCCACCCTCGGCCTGCTCGGCAGAACAACAACAATGGAAGGTTTGAACCCGTCCGGTCCATTTCATCCGGATTTACCTCTGGGTTAAAGATAAGCTGGGTTATATCGGGATAACTTACCCCCAAAATCCACAGGGACACCTGGGAGGTACTAGAGTCGAAGGTTTGCTTCGTTCACTTGTGTCTCCCATGACTTCCTCCCCCGGAAAAAAATTAAAAAAAGATCCGATATGGAGAACTCGAGGCCGGGGATGAGTCCGAGGCCTGCTCCGTCACTGAGGAACACGGTCCGAATATCAAGTTGGACGAAAAAACAAAAACACAAAATGTCCTGAAATGTAAAGTCCACACGCCGGGTGAGGAAGGGCGGTGAGGCCGATCCGTGCGGGCCGCAGAAAGCCTCCGCTGGAGCGGAACAAAACGGCTCAGTTCGGTGTAATTGAACGCCTCTCAATCAGCTGGACGTTGAGAACGGAGGGTCGTCCCGGCGCCGAGAGCGGCTTTAAAAACTACCAAAAAGCGACCAGCTGTGCGGGGAAACACATGAAACACAACTAGGGCGACGCGAAAGACGAGGAAGGGTGAGATAAAAGAGGAAAAAAAGAAAAATAGATTAAGACCGTCCCTTCCCGACCAGCTCGGGACCACCCCTGCTCCACACGTCCGCACGTCAGACCGGAAACGCGTTTATCAAACCAGAAAAGTCAACAAGAGCCGACCGAAGAACGAAACAAACCGAAGAAATAATGAAATATTACTCCGCAGAACATGTAGAGAGGAAAATGTTATGATTCTTAAATCTTAATGGTGTTAACAAAGGGGACAAATATGGATAGTTAGTCCGGCTTTGATCACTGGCTTTAGAGTGCTCTGTTTTACCGGAGTACAGTGAACACAACACGGGGAAAACTTTTAATCAACATAAACTTTATGTAATTATTTTTCTGGCTCACGTTCTGGTTAGTTTATTGAAGTTAAAAATAAAGATTTATTTTATTTGTTTAGTAAAAGAGAATAATAAACAGACATAATTGTTAAAAATTGACTTTTGAGTCCACAACTTGTTGACTAAAGCAGAATTATTTGTATTTATTTACCCTTTATATTAATAAAGGTAGTCTTATTGAATCACGAGAACTTATTTTCAAGAGACCTGTTTGGGAGCAGATGGTGGGGGTTAAGTGCCTTGCTCAAGAGCCCAGGGTGTAGGCAGGTGCTAGTGTTTCACCTTTTCATTCCACATTTTGATGTCTGGGAGTTGAACCTGCAACTTTCTTATCACAGGCCCATCTTTAACTTCTGCATCACCACTCCCCAATTAATCTCACATTTATTAAAATGTGTTATTATTCAAGTTATTTACCAAATAAACTTCCATCCAGGTGTTCACCAGGATTCTTAAAATTAGGTTCACATCTAAAAAAAAAAAAAATGCCTCGAGTTGTTTCTGTTTTTACAACTCAGCTGAATTCTTGATTCTTTCCGAGGCTAATATTTGGATTAGTTTACAAATAAAATAAAACTTGGATTTACTCTTTTTTTTTTCAGTAGAAAATATAATTAACAGACCAATAAAGAAAAGTGCCTTTTCTCAACTTCAGTTAAATATTTTCATGATTTAGTCCAATATGTAAGTTTTATTACACATTATTGACCAAACACAGAATTAAACTTTTCTTAAAGATGTGATATTTGCTCAAACACCTGTGAACACATTGTTGCAGAAAACATTTATTATTACTTGTATGAATTTCCCCACTGAGGGAAAATAAAGTATATTTTTTACTCTTTGTTTAAGAACCATTCATTGGAACGCTGTCTCCATTTTTATTTATATTTACTGTATTTATAGTTTAAATGTGCCAACTCACCAAGGGTCTACTGTTATTTTAGTTTTTATTGTGCACTACTGGTCTCATTTATTTTGTACTCTTTATTCCATGACACAAGTTACAGGAAGATTTAAAGAATCAATTAAATCCACTGTACTGTGTGACGTTGTCCTGGTAGACGATAAACTACAGTAACTTTTAAATGATTTAATTTTATCCTCGTTGTGCTGCGAATCTCAAAATGAGGATGAAATCCAAACAATGTGGTTAGACGTCAGTTTTTCAACAGGAAACAACAAAATTTAACGTTTCACAGATGAAACTTTACAAATCTGAAATAGTTGAACCAGTTAAAACAGTTCAGGGGACTTTTTTTAAAACTTTTGCTTCCGATAAGTTTTTTTACAACGAGAAAAACCACAAACCAAATATATCTGCACACGTTTCAAAAGTTAAATAATTCAAAGTTTAATGACGTATAACCTCAGTGAGCTAACAGGGCGCTGGGCACGATGAACGGGTGGTGACTGATCAATCAGCAGATTGTTCTGTAACAGAAGCTTAAAAAAATATCAGAGGTCACTGTATTGCTTCTATGAATGAACCCCCTCCCCCCTTAAAAAAAAAAAGCAGCCAAGTGGATAACTGTGACCCCCCCCCCCCACACACACAAAAAAAGTCATCTTTAAAAAAAAAAAAATCACATTTTGGACAGGCAGTGTGTCGGACAAGAGGCTGTAAAACACATTCACACATCAAACATACGGCGCGAACATCTGGATATACGGAGATCTATCGATTACATCATCTCTACACCATAACCTGAACAAAGCCCCGATTTAATTCAGCTTGTAAGGAAGACATTATCCAGCTAATCTGTAATCCTAAGTGTTGATCAGACGCTTCAAGAAAGCAGCAGTGGCTAATCCAGGTTACGTAACAAATTCTTAATAAGGTGGTTTTTAAACAACTTAAAAGTGCAACATTCAAACACACAAAAACAAAAACCACAGCACAGCTTCATTTTCAAACGAACGTTCAAAAAGACAAAAAAAAAAACAAAGTAACCGTAGCCGTCAGGACTCTAGAAACAGGAGCACACCACAGTACTGTATTTCAGTCAGAAAGCTCGAGCTGCAGCCTCATTTTTCTTTTCGAGTATTAAAATAAAGTGCCAGCGGCAGCAGCTTCTTCCTGTAATACGTCAACAGCAGCTTGGGCAGCTTTAGTGCATTCGTTCGTTTGGTCCGAGCCTCCAGAACACCAGATTTTACATCGTCACTCTTATTCCCAATTATTTATACTCGTCAACGCAAAAGCTTCACTTGTTCACACAACTGGATACGTTTGAGTTCTTTTGTTAAAGAAATAAAAACACAAAAGTCTGTGAAATAAAGTGAAACTGATGAAAATCAGACGCGAACCGTGACTTTTGTGGATTTTTTTTTTTAACAAAAGAATTTAAACAAATTCATCCCAGTCTGTAAAAATGAGTTAAATCGAAGGTTATTTCTTTCTCCCGAGGTAATAAAAGTAGTAAAAGTCCCGCCAGATCCTATGATATGGTTAGTTGAGTGTGAGCTGGATATTTAAATCCCCCCCCGTTATAACTTCATGACTGGATCAGGTTATTTTCTGCTTCCAAAAAGCCTTTAACGTTGCCGGTTTGGTGAGTTTGATATAAAAATGGACACTCAAACTCTGAAAAATATAAACGAGTGCTACCCTGTGAGCCTGATGGTATGAAAAGTTTGTTTTATCAGACAATTTCTCAAAAAAATAGCTTAATAAGGATATAATTCTTTCTTTGTTTTAAATTATTACTATGAATTTATCAAATTTAAATACCCCCCTCCGGCTCTGGTGCTTAGTGAAACAGTAAAATCACGTCAGTGACAAAAAAATTCAACCTTCTGGATTTGAAATCCTAGTAGCTAAAAAGTACCTTCATTAAACGTACAAAGAAGTACAAGTAGGACCTAATTTCAGTCAGAAAACTGGGAAGACAGGAGCTCTAGGTTCTGCTGCTACAGATGCGTCGGTTCTGTTGCACGTGGGACAAAATGGACGACGACAACACGACGATGGCCTCAGCAGAGGAGCAGCAGCGCAGTCTGGATGATGGAAGCTGTGCAAAATGACATTCTGACGTCTCCCAGGCTCCTAGTGAGAGTAGGAGAAGGCTGATGAGGATGAGGAGGACTGCTGGCTGGGCTGCAGGCTGTGCGAGCGCGACGGCCGCTGGGGCCGCTGCTGCAGGTTAGCAGCCCCCGAATCAGACGAGTCCAACCCCGGGCTGCCTTCGATGACCTCGGTGTCCACCTGGGCCGGACATTCGAAGTGAACACAGTGGAACACCTGCAGACACGTCGACATACAAGAGAACGTGACTTTAACTCGACACAGATCTTCTGTTAGCATCAAGCTAAGTCCGTTAGCGTTAATATCCTCTTCTAACCCAGCTGCAGGTTCAAAATGTTTATTCAAGTTCTCAACACTGAACAACTCATTGAGTTCATCCAGTGTAAGGTCAGCGGTCCCAGCATCTCACGAAAACTCCCCTCAGTTTGTCCCGAGTCAATTCTGACATTGCAGGAGATAAAACGCTCAGACCTGAGGGCACCGGTAAACGTGTGGTTTACACAACGTACAGTTTCAATGTCATTCTTTTATTTATTACTCGGAGCTCAAGGTGAAGGGGAAAAAATCTCTTATGACAATTGTACTAATACCTTGTTAATATCAAATACATTAATTTAATTCAATTTATTTATATAGCGCCAAGTCACAGCAGAAGTCGTCTCAGGGACTGAACAGAAACCAAACATACCGTAATTTCTGGACTATAAGCCGCTACTTTAGTTTCACATGCTTTGAACCCTGCAGCTTAAACAAATGCTTAGGCCCGTCGCGATAAACGATAAATCAATTAATCGCATGATAAATGAAAATAATCAACCTCATTTTCATTTATCGTTTTTATCGTTTCGTCGTGTCTCTCTCTTTCTACTGAAGACACTGGATGACAAAAGGCTCAACTCCGGTCTCTTCACTGACCCTTCACCTTCTCTTTTCTATTTAAAATCCATTTAATCGTCCAAAATTATGTTTCTGGATGAGAAGCTACGCTAACAGGCCAACCTCGGCAGAAAAAAAACCTCCGTCTTGTCGAAGCTACAAAATTCACGGTTGAAACCCGTGCCTTCGTGTAAAACGTTGTTTTTCTCTGCAAAAAGAAGCTGAGGACTTGTTTACTGATTTTTATTAAAAGAGTTGTGTGAAAAATGCTAAAGAGCTCAAACCACACCGAGCGTCCGCCATTTTGAGAACCGAAAAACAAGAACAAGAGAGAACCCATGTCACGTCAAGGGGCCTCCCTACCATTGTTCTTAAAGAGACACGCTGCTCGCTCCCTCACTATCCATCCTTCAGGTCAAACAGTCTTCAAAAAAGTTACCACACAAAATTAACCTACGTTTCTTTGTAAAATCAAACAATATTATCGTTTATCGCAATAATTTCTGAGATGATTAATCGCCCAGCACATTTAGTTGTTGTGGCAGGCCTACTCGTGACCTCGTTCTTTCCTCCCCTCCCTGGGGGCACAACAAAGTATTTGCAGCCACTCTACTCAAGTGTGAATCGTGCATTAACGTGGCGCTCAGAGCTCGGTGGGAGGCTTGGATGACTAGCGGCGAGAAATCGTTTACCAAAACTGGCCGCACGTGAAGAGCAGCGTTCGCTCAAGTCTGCCGCGGAGCCTGACAGTGGAGCAGGGTAAAAAATTATCCCCATCACCAACGGGTTTTGAAAGGCAGCTGCGTGATGAAGAGGACAGCACAAGCTTACGCAGGACGAAGATGAAGATAGCGATCAGTGACTTCCTGTTAGGCTACTGATTTTCTTTGTTTAACCAGTCATGTTACAGGCATTGCTCAGAAAAAAAAACATTTTACTGTATTTGTGTATGTTACCGGTACATATTTAACTAAAAGTAAAAAAAAAAAAAAATCTTTCCGTGTAAATATCTCATGTTACAACGTGGACACCTGCGGCTTATGGTCAAGTGTGGCCTTTAAATGTACAAATTTTTATTATTTTTTTAAATTAGTGGGCGTGGCTTATATTCGGGTGCACTCAAGAGTCCTTAAATTACGGTAAAAATTTCAGAGTAAACGGTAACACATAAACAAAGCAATATTTCTGAAAATAGTACGTAATAACTTGTCTCTCACTGAAATGACTGTGAACGTGACTCTTGAAAGTTAGCTGGAGTGAGAATACTCGTGTCTCGTTAAACACTTTCCAGCGTTTCCCATAGATCAGTTCCCTTGGTGGTGACTTGTCGTACTTCGTTTTTGTCGACCGGGGTGGGGGTGGGACGGGATGGAGTCACGTCTGTATTGCCCGCTCGCTAGCTTAGCGCTATGTTGCTGCCATTCTTGCTACAGCGTTGGTTTTGCACCCGGCGCTACATTAATACCGACAGTTGTCGCATGCGGGCGTCAGTAGGCAGGGCGCTCTGTTCTGTTGATGAGGCAGGGTGGCCCCCCAGTTTTATAATGGTAGGGAAACACTGCTTTATTTCTAAAATATACTGTTAAACTGGTCCATCAAGTAACTAAAACTCACAGTGAAATCAAAAGACGAAACTCTGAGTAACGACCGTTGCAACATTTTATTACGAAAGGAAAACTAGTCATAAATGTGCAGGACGGAGCAGTCCGAGTGACGACGGTTACAACTTTTTACCAGAAAGAAAAAAAAAAGTGCAAATATTCAGCTTCACAGTAAATCTACATCTTCTGCAGCATCTGAGTCATCGGCGTCCTCTTGAACTTCCTAATGGTCTCATGACGGCGCTGGCTGCCTTCCTCAGTGTGGAGGAGGAACTAAATGACTTCATCTGCCTGTTTCTGTGGGTGACGTCACAATCTGCTGCTGTTGGAGGTCAGGGGGTGCTGGTGTAGCAGGAGCTGCTTGTTCCCAGTGCTTCGGGCCTCCACACACCTGAACTCAGCTGGGAAGGCAACGTCATGATGCGCACCAACCAGTTCTTCCATTTCTTTATAGAACTGGAACCTAATGGTCTTCTTTCCTTTCCGTCGTTTTCTGATCATCCTTCACGCGTTTGTACGCGTAAACACGAGTTACCCACTTCCTAACAACCGAACCGAGGCTGAACGTCTGCTTGAAGTGAGTTTTACAGCAGCCTTCATCCACAACAGCTGCTCTGCTTTGGCTGCGCAGCTGAATGTTGAGTTGTGGCAAGTTTTTAGACAGGTCTCCACTGTCCATCACCTGCACACGCACGTGCTCTATTAAAAACAATGTCTAATAATAATAATAATACATATTATTTGTATAGCGCTTTTCTAAATACTCAAAGACGCTCCATAATAAAGGAGTCGTGGCAGGTTGAAGAGTTGCTCCAAGTTTTAAAATGAACAGTCGTCTGAAACACAAAAATGCAAAGAGTTCAACAATACAGAATTTTGCCAACTTTATTGCTAACGCTTGTTACTATTATTATTATTACTACCACTAATATCTTACCAGTTGTGGTGTGAAACTCATGATGTTGCACACGTTGAGGTCCTCGTCCATGTAAATGTGGACGTGTCCTCTGGGCCAGAGAAAACAGTTGTTCTCTCCTCGACCACAAACACATCGAGGTCCATGTCCAGGTAACTAATAAAAGAACTCGCGCACAGTTATTATCACACAGTCCGGCAACAGCGTCACACAATTATCAGTACAATCTGTGTAAAGTTCTCCTGCACACAGGTCACTGGGGACCTGAGACTTGTTTGGCTGGAGTTTAACGTACGTTCATTGTGAATTCGACTAAAATGTACAGGTAGTTCTGGCAGAGATTTAAAAAAAAAAAAAGCCTCCAAGGCTTTAATTGAACAGAACTGTGAGGTACACAGAAAACCTTTGAAAGTCACATTTGTCTTTTTTTATCCCCAAGCCATTCCGAAACATTAAATAAGAACACGTGGCGGTTGCAACATCGTTACTGCCGAAACAACAGTACCAGAGCTCTACACGTACGTCAGGCAAACAAACAGCGTTTAATATGTTCAATATACACATCAATTCAATTCAGTTTATTTATAGAACAGACGTCGTCTCAGGGCACTGAACAGAAACATTCACATTTATAAAAAAAAGTCTGTTAATAACGTAAATTAACGTAATTAGAAACTACTGGTTGCACGAGTGAATAAATATGAAATACTACTTGAAGAACAAATACTAACAGTAAAAGTAACAAAGTTTACTTACTAAAGTTCACCTTGAAATCCGAACTGGGAGTAGTCGGAGTTGCTCCCACTTTCCGAGCGGGATGTCGCACCTGAGGGGGCGTTCCAGTTTAAATTTACGACTGGGAACTCTGAAATGTCCATTTCCCAGTTCTGCTGGAACGCAGCATTAGTGTCTTACACGGGGGACAGAGTCAGAGATGACAGGAAGTAGACGGTAGCCTACGGTACGTGCACGCGACAACCGATCCTAATCATTATTTATATCGTTTAACATCAGACACTAAAAAGCAGCCATTCGGTAAGAGTGCATGCACTCTGTACAACAGAATACACGTGCACATCAAAATCTGAGACAGATCAAGTTTTAATCAGCAGATCAGTGTCAAATTCCCGAGTTATCCCTGATTTTTTAAATGTTTTTCTAGAACTCTCTGTTTGGACAATGTGAAAGTCCTTTCCCAGGTTTCCCCAGATTCCGGTTGTTTCTGGGAACCCTGAGCGTGTCTGGACGCTCGAGATACTTGAGCAAGCATCAGGAGGTCTGGGTACTGTTGAAACAAGTCTGTAAACACAGACGACCAGAGCTGCGTCGGTCTTTACCTCATTCGCTGTGTTGTGAGTCCCAACAATTCGGATGAAGGAAGCTGGCTGGTTTTCAAACTTCAGTGTCTGCCATGATCTGCAACATAAATATACACAATTTAAAACGTACAACCTTTGGAATGTACTCTTAACTAAGGTTGGATCAAGATATTCTTCTCCTCATCTACCTCAGGGCGGTTCTGGTTCTGAGTGAGGAGCCATATGAAGAGCATTTTATTAGCTCCTTTGAAAAACAACAAAAAAGCTCTTCTGTCCTGGATGGTTTATCTTAAAACAGCAACACCAGTGTCTTATAACATGATGTCAACCTGTGGGAGTGGCTACAGAGGTGCTGTGCATTGTGGGTGGAGCTTAAGGTGGTCCACTTCCTGTCTGTCAAAACTAGTTTTTACTCTCCTGGATCCTGGCTGGACCATCAGAGCAGACTTCAAACAGAAAGAGAATTTACATTAAACTTAATAAACATTGTTATCATTGAACATGTATGTGTTCATCTCCCGAGTTATTAATTTAATTATTTAATCAAATAATTTCAACAACTAAAAAGGACAATGTTCAGAGAAAGACAAAAACCTAATAAATGTGTCAATTTAACATTTATTTGACAGAAACTGCTGCTGAACTTGGACCTTTTAAAAAAAATAGTTTTGGTTTATTAAGATCCTGCAAACATAATTCATAAATAAATCGGCAGACGTCACTCGTCTTAATGATGTAACAGAAGTTGAGTGAGTGGAAAACAATGAAAGCTGCGGGCTTCTCACCGACATGACACCCTGGTGCGATCGACCACCTTCGTCCACAGCTGCTGGTTGGTGGAAACTTCGATGTAATAACTGTAGGAGCGCTCGTCACAGTCCCAAAGCAACAGCCTGAAGAAGTAGAGGAAACAAAAAAAAAATCAGTTTTAATGCTGTAATCTCATTAAAACTTTGGTATTGAGATTATTTTTTATCTACAAAGAGAAACAATTACAGAAATACTGTACTGGCCCAAAAACAGGTGAGTGAAAGAGCCATTTATCGTCTTCACTGTAAGTTCCCAAACAACAAGGAAAGTGCAGATTTGTGTGAAACCCGTTTCTTTGCTTGTTTGTTTTATTTTACAACAGACGTGGGTAAAGATAATGGATGTTTTACATGTTTATGTGTTTTTTGTTAATAAATAAACAAAACAAACACTATATATTACAACCAAACAGATAAACATTAGTACTTATGAACATAACATTTGTAGTGAGTCACGTGGGTACGTGTCACTTGTTGTATGACAAATATATGTGTATATATTTATGCATACTTTTCACGAGTTCTTCATTTTTCTGACTGTAATGTCGTGCATTGAATTTAACAGAAATGTAACGAGAGACGTTATTACCTTTGACCCATCAAATGAATGGAGTCATTTATTTTCAGAATCAAAGTTTAACATCAAACATTTACATTAATTTGGCAAAATATGAAAATAATAACAGACAGTTTCACAGAAAATGAACTTCAAATCACTCGGCGGTGATTTGAGGACTTTGCTTCAGATATTTCTAAAATATCTGTACTAGTTTTGTGAGAGAGAGATGAGTTTAAGAGGAAATTGAGATTTATCTTACAGAGGAATATGTGAGGGAATTTAATCTGTTTGACCAGAAATTGCACGCTCCGTCAGATCTCAGCTTTGCCCACGGTACACTTGGTCGAAGAAGAAGTTTTACCTTGTTGACGATCGATCACCTCAGTAAGAATCCTTTTCAACTGATATCAGCGTCTCCGTTGAGAACAGCTAAAATCCTCGGAGAGTCGTGCGTGGTTAGCCCAAAACAGAATTATAATCCCAAAACGTCTCTGGATTCTAGTAACTCTGACTCTTCATTGTCAGCAGCTCTAAGACTCTTTCAGATCTTCTCAGACTCCAACTCCAAAACTCTCCATAACTCTAGTTCTCTTCTGAACTCCTTCAGAACTTTTCCATTCTCGGAATCTACTGCACTCCATGGAATCTCCTGCACTCCATGGAATCTCCTGCACTCTCACTCTCTCTAGACTGATAGAACCGGGAAGTTGTCACATTTTAAATGAGTTTACTTCCGAGTTTACTTCAGAGCTTTCTGATTCGTGGATAGACCAGAAAGAGGAGTGATTTTGTGACGTAAGATGTTATCTAAGCCAAGGTCAGAGGATGAGATTGTTTTAACAACTGACAGAGAGATTATTGCAGGAGAGCAGACTTCGTGGAGTCAACTCTTGGTAATCTTCTGAAAAAGTTTAAACATGACATCTTTCTCGGTAAACATTTTAGTTGACCGAAAACCAACCTTTCACATACTTACGACTTGACTCATTTCAGACAGAAAATCAAGAAATGCATATTCAGGTGATTTCTTCTCTGAATGAGGAATAAAAATCATTACTTACTGTTTATGTAAAATAAAAATGAGTAGTTCTTTTCAACCTGTAAAGCATTGAGTGAAACTAACACAATTTGATTATCAAACATTTGTAAGACAGTAATGATTATAAAGAATTGTCTTTTCTGCTTGATTAATTCAAGAAAGAAAGTCATCAGATGGCCCAGACTTATTCAGATCAATGAAAATAACAGTCTCTGTCCATCTGGTAGATTTGAGGTCAGATAAGGGTCAGACCAGGTTCACTACACATTTAATAAAATAAAAAAATGCTATAATTTTGGCACAAACGGACAATTTTCCTGTTGTTTCCAGAAGCCTTAAAAACATTAGTGTCATTTGTTTTTGTATTCCTGTATAACTTATAAGCGTTTGCTTTAATAAGCTTCATTTTTTAAACGTGAGTCTTGTAAACGAGCTCCTTCACTGTCCATTTTTAAAAACACATTTTTACTCCCTGGCTTTTAGCACAGACTGAATTTGCTCTGCGCTGTTTTTATTGATCTTAATGTTTTAACAACTGTTTTTTTTTTATATGTTTAAACTTGATTTTACGTGTGCAGCACTTTGTTGCAGCTGTGGTTGTTTTAAAGGGCTTTATAAATAAAGTATTATTATTATTAATAAACGTTTCTTTTTGCCGCTTGTCATAAATGAGTCATGTGGGTAAAAACATCCAACAAACCGCCTCGTTCAGAAAAAGAACCCGTCCAGAGGACCTGACTCAGCTTTGTTGGATTTTTCTTCCTGGATTATTGAGCACGAGTCTGGACCTCGTTCAGTGTTTAAGACAGCGTTAAAGGGTTCTGCTGAACCCGTTACTGAACCCACCTTAGAGACCCGATGGAGTAGGGCTGAGCCAGCTGGATGACGATGGCCCCGGAGCCCAGCTGGTGACACGTGTACCCAGAGTCCCAGTCGTAGTTGCGCGTGTCGCCGTTGAGCAAAGCATTCCTGCTCCGACTCACACCCTCGATGACACTGGCGCAGGACGCAATCGTGGCCACGTTCTCGCTGGGTACTGTGCACGGCAAGGGCACGAGAAAGTCACGTTTTATCCTCATATGGTCTCATAAGTCCCAAATCACACTAACAAATGTTACTGAAGTCAGGGAACATGAGATGAACACGTCCAGCGTGTCACAGACGCTACGCAGACTTGGAGTTTTTGAAACTTACCCACGAGGCCGTTCTCCAGGGTAAACGAGCGGTTGGTGAACATGCATTCAAAAGCCACGAGGTGAAACACCTTGTTGACCGTGTTGTGTGTTCCAACGATACGAACGTACCTGAGAGACCAAGAAAACATCAGAACTCAGAAAACAAGAAAATTAAAAGACCAAAACTTCAACTGGGCAGCCTGGTTTGTTGGTACAACTTCCTTTACAGTGAATGATGTACAACCAAGAAACTATAAATAAATAAAACACTAAAGGTTTTTTCTCAAGTCATTAACAAGGTTTTACACAGAAATCCTGAATGTGATGATGTATTCTACAATTCATAAATAAATCAGCTGTTTATTCAGCTTTTTGTTTTGGTGTGATAGAAACATGAAGTTATTATCCTGTATGATGATGATTTAAGATTCTTACAGCATCTGGTTCACATGAGTCACATCTTCTGACATTATTAAAGGTTACTACTTTAAAGGTGGAGGGACCAACAACGTGTTCATTTATTTACCTGCAAACTCGTGGTGTGAAGTAAAGGTTCTGCCAGGAGCGGCACAGAAACTTGGAGTGATCAACAACACGGACCCAGTCCAGCTCATCCATCGATATCTCAATGTGATATGAGTAAGACCTGAAATAAATAAAAATATACACATGCATATGCACTTTTATAGTTAAAATACAAAGTGCATTAAATTAGGTTAATCAGTTAAATCAGTACACCAAGTTATTATTTACTTACATGCGTGAACTGTTTTTCCTTTACATTTTATACTTGTGTTGGATTAACTGGTACACGATTTCATGTACCACATGTGGTGTGTATGACAAATAAAGAATCTTGAATATCATTCATTTCGACTTTGTTGCATTTAAAAATATATATTTGGTTACAGTCACTTTTTGACTGCGTGCTGCAACGATCCCTTTCATTTTCCTCTACCAGCTGCACGATGCTGCTGGAATTTATTTTCCTGAAGAAATCCTCCCAAGGGATTAAAAAAATCTAATTTAAGCTTCAAAACAATGAAACAAATTATTATAGACAGCTATTTGAAGAAACGTGGCTAAAGTAAATCAGCAGGAAAAGCACCTGGAACTAGTAAACAAAATAATAAACTGTAGTCAGCTCCTTCAACAATAAACTACCCTGATTATTCTGTATTTAAAACAAACACGTACCGGTAGTTAGGTTACACTTTTCCAGAAAATCACCAATTCAAAGTCCCGTTTATGAATGAGTGATTCGTTTTGTTTGATGTTGGGATGAGTCGAACTCACCGACTGTCTCTGTCCCAGAGCAGCAGGCGGACGTGGTTGATGATTGACGGCTGGCCCAGTTTGACCTGGATCCCCGCCCGCCCGTCCTCCTCGATGGGGTGTCTGGAGAAGCCGTGATCCAGGTCGTAGTTCTGGGTGTCTCCGTCCAGCAGCGCAGACTTCAGCTCGCCTTTGACGACCTGAGCTCCGTATTTCATGGTGGCGATGTTCTCCTCTGGAACTAAAATCCAGTAAATAAAAGATTACTGCATGAATTAATTTGTTTAACAACAGAAAATACAAAACTTTATCAAATGTTCTAGAGAAGTCAAATTCCATGTAAAGACACTCGTCAGACAAGAGATGAGGACTAACTGAGCATGCCACGGTAGTTCAGGTCCATGTTGCGGCTTTCTGAGCGGGTCTTGATAGCATCCAGCAGATCGTCGGGGCTCACGAGGCCGGACGGTCGCACCACATTCAGCATCTCTGTCAGAGTCATGAGCGGCAGGCGCACGACTGACATCACCTCCAGGGTCTTCTCCCCGTCCTCGTGCTGCTGGCACCAACGACACAAGGCCTGGAAGATTTCCTTCTCACTGGCAGCGAACGAGTCCCGCCTGACCACCGTCAGCAGAGCCGTCTGTAAATACAAACAAAGAGTAATAAAACGTAAAGACTGAATTGATCTAACATTAAGATCTGCAGAAAATGAGCAATCCAACAACCCCATCGTCTCATCTGTACTTACCTTTGAGAGTGAGAGAAAACCATCAGAATTCAACACTTCAGGCGCGTGTCTGTCCATGTAGGAGCAGCAGGCTTCACTGAGCGTGCTCAGAGAGTACAGACTGGCCACGTCGAAGATCAGGCAGATGTTGTTGGTGTGCAGGACGGTGCGGAGGAACTCGCAGGTGGAGTCCTCCAGAGGCTGGAGGCCGTAGCGGTGAGCCAAACCCAGGAAGTCTAACAGCACCTCTTCCCGTGCAGAACTCAGGCTGGCCCGGCCCGTGTACAGGTAGTTCAGCAGCATGGAGAACGCTTCGGCTCGAGTCTCCTCTAAACACACCTCCGCCTGCGGTTGAGACTCTTTCATCCCACCGTACAGCAGGGCCCTGAAGGGCACAGAGTCCAGAAGATGATTAATGGATATTTCTAATTAATGCAGCGCGGCGTTAGACTTCAGACTGACGGCTCACGTGGAAACGCATCCAGAGAAGCAGGAGGAACAACAGAAGCGGCAGATCTAAACTGCTTTTATCACAGGCAAGTCAGCGTTTGCATTTAGTCCAAAACCAAAATAAAATCAGTCGACAGAGAAAACTGGCGACTCCGATATAAATTTAGTTTGAATGCGTTTGCACTCGAGGTGAATGTTTTCTAGCACGGTCAACAAGGGCGGCCGTGGTTGAGTGGTTAGAGCAGTCGTCCTCCAATGCAAGAGTTGGGGGTTCAAATCCACCAGCAGTCACATGCTGAAGTGTCCCTGGGCAAGACACTGAACCCCTCATAGCCTCTGATGTGTGTCCCATCAGTGCATGAATGTGATCTCAAAAAGCTCTGATCAATCTCTTTAGAATGATTTGTTCAATTAGCTTTGTAGAGATCTAGTATAGAGCTGTATGAACGGGTAAATGAGGCACCGATTGTTGTGTAAAGAGCTTTGAGTATCTTGGAATAAGATAAAATGCTATACAAGTACAGTCCTTTTACAATTATTAACAAGTAGACATGCAAGCCTTTCATTGAACTCTCACAAAATGTCTAATTTTTATTCATTATTTATTGGATAGGTTTAAGACCATAAGAGCTTTTATTTCTAACTGAAGAAACACAAATGCAAACTTAACTGCCTTAAATACAATATCTTATCAAGTTCAGCCCAGAACTGGGTAACTTATGAGATTCTTCGCTGAATAGTTTATAAAAACAGCTGACGATACCAAACAACTGTTCACAAAAAAATGAAACAAATAAAACATAAAATGTATTCATTGTATTAGAACACCAGTTTTTATAATATATTAAAATTAGGCAGAAGACAAAACCAAGTGACTACTCCGAAGTGCCACAAAAATGTCAGTTACGCAGTGGATGGGTATTTTAGGAGTAATTTCTGAAATTAAAGAGGTAAACTGAAGTGATTATTATTTTTTATTTTAGTCTAAATATTTATAGGTTTGAGCTTCAACGGCCAAGGAAGCAGCACAGAAAAAAAAAGCACAGCAGGTCATGTTGTCATGATAAAATCTGTTCCCTCTTCTGTTAATTATTTCCAGATTTCAGGGTGTTTTCCCTAAAAAACTCTGCAGATTTTGGCATGGCAGAATAAACATTTTCAGATTATGGGCAGCATGAGGTAAAGGAGTCAGTTGTATCTAACAAGGTTGAGTCAGGTCCTCTGGATGGATCCTTCGTGTTGAAACGTTTCGTCTTTTATTAAAAAAAAAAAAAAAGACTTCCTCAGTCTGAGGAGCTGCAACAAACTTAAGGCTTGCACAGACTCGGGCGTCCACAGAGGGTTGAGACTTCATACTCGAGCATCCACCCTGAGCAGCTGCAGCTGTGTGGTCATTTGCTGACACGCCTACTGGATTGATTGACAGGTCGCCAAAAGCCGCAACGGTGTTCTGTGTTTAAATGTTGTTAATAAAAAGTTCTAAAACATAAATTTAAAAAAAAACAAAGCGCTGGCCCTGCAGCCCACACATCAGACCAGCTCACCAGGAAATCTCCAGACCCTCTCGCAGCCACGCCTGATTTTAATACACTTGTGACAAATTCCTTCATTTCTCACAATTTCAGTCATGGCGTCAACGAAGGAGTAAGAGATCACTTGTGTTTTGGGAGAAACAAAACTAAAAGGTCATTAAACAAGACGAGGGATGAAGAAGAGGAATTTAATACATTAGTGTTGCATACAAAACAGTCCGTCACCGGGCAGTTTATTGTGCGACACAGAGTACACGGTCTTTGCACGGACATGCCCTGCAGGCATCCGCTTCGAGTCTAATCCGGTACGTGCAGACCTCCGCGGGACTGAAGCACGCCCGAGTATACTGGAGCCTTCAGTCTTACAAACAGCACCTTCAGTAGATGAACCAGTTTGTTGCTGACATCCAGAACTAGCTATCCACATGCAAAAGGAGACCCATCAGCCTCACAATTGATCCTTAGGTCATCTACCTGGATTACTGAGCATGATGAGTCAGTTGCATGTTTTGAGAAAGGCCAAGGTTTCTTTATTGTCATGGTGGAACGAAATTGTGCACACAGGGTCCCAGACACTTAATTTCCTAGACTTAAATTGTGTCCATCATGCTCAAATCCATCATGATGTGGTTTCCTGCAACTAAGGGCATAAAGGGGACGAGAAAAAAAAAAGATCCAAGAGATTGTATTTATTGTTTGTTTCCTGAAATTATTGACTAAGCATGAGGGCAAGGCGGACGTGTTGGAGAAACAGATTTATAAGGCAACAGAGGAACCGTGAATCCAAGCCCGACTAACCTGAAGTAGTGACAGCGAGCAGCCAGGATGACCCGGTGCGCCGGGAACCTCTTCCCCTCCACGATGAACGTCACGTCGCTGTACTCCTCTCCGAGCACCAGCGCGCCCAGCTGCTCCGACAGCAGGTGGATGTGGTCGATCTCCGACACGGAGGCCAGGGGACGGAGGGGATGACTGTTGCTCATGGTCGAGGTCCAACCCAGTCACACCTACCACTACAAATATAAATAAACGTGAAGCCCAAGAGTCGCGTTTGCCACAACACAAACACGTTAAACTGAAAGTCAACCTGCTGGTAGCTCCGTCCGTTAGCTTTGATGCTACACGCTAAACATGGCAACCTCAAATATAATTCAATTTTTTACAAATAACTGTGACCTTCAAACGCAGATTCTTTAACCAGTGCATTTTAAAGCATAAAAACAAAGAGTCCGATGCACAGAACTGAACAAGCGGTGTTTTAAATTAGTGAGCCGGTGTGCAGAGCCGCTGTTCACGGAAATTTGAAGAAACAAGCAGCTAGCTGACCATTAGCGCTTCTTGCTAATTTTAGCCATACTCACCGAAAAGATAACATTCACTTCCGTCTACAGATTATATTTATTTAGAAAAATACAGCAGGAAATAAATTTTCCAATATGGAGAAAAATATCCGGTTTAAATTCATGAACCTTCCGACGTCACGCCTTAGCGGAAATTGATGTTGTGACAACAGAGACAACTTCCGGTTCTGTTGATAATGCGCAGCAGCGCCACCTGCTGGTTTGGAGGAATATCTCCCCACAAAATAAAGAAAACGTTTCTCATCAAAATGAGAACTAGTTTATGAGCTTTAAGTGTTCCTCACTTTCTGTTTTAATGGGAAACTATAAAAAACATATTGTTTTGAGTATAATTATACCTAACATTTATTGTACTGCTTTGATCTGTAAAATCAAATAGGCTATCATCCCTGAAATAATATTCATGTGATTATGTTGTTATAGTTGTGTGTGAATGCTGATTCAGGAAATTAAAAACAGGAAACAATAAAGTTGAACTCAGCATTCAGCTTCCAGCTAATCTTTTGCTACTTTTTGTTTTTGCATACTTTTTTTGTTTGTTTGTTTGTTTTAACTTGCATTTTACTTTGGTTGATATTTTGTTGTTTATACCCAGTTTTTAAATACATTTGGCTTTTAGTTAGCCCTTTTCTTCTTTTAACTGTTAGGTAGCCTTTTGCTATTTTTAGTTAGCACTTTGCACCTTCTAGTTTATAACTAGATTTCTTCTTCTTTTAACTTAAACTCAGTTTCAGCTTCTTAAGCAAATTTCAGCAATTATTTAGTACGCAGCATTTTCAAGGAAAAATGCAATTTCTCTAGTTATGATTTTTTAAAACCTTTTTTGTTTCTCTTGGTTTAGATTTTGTACTTTGCATTTTTTTTTCTTTTGTTCATCAGGCTATATTTTTATTTTTTGTACTTTTCCGTTATTTCTCTGCCCCACATTTTACTTGTATTTCCATTTGCAAATATTTTGTTAATTTCACTCCTGAGGAAATGTGCAAGCAAGGTGTGTAATAGTGAGCTTTAACAAAATTAACCAAACACGTACAAACAAAACTTTAGCAGGGAATAAATAACACGTTGTGGATTAAGTTTGAAACTTAGTTTAAGTTGTTTTGGCGTTATTATCCAACGATAATAAAAAAAAAAGAAAATGATCATTGTGAAGGGAATTATTTTATTTCACATTTAAACATTTCAATGACAGGATTTGATCGTATCTCGCTCACTTTAACTGTGTAAATTTAATGACATTCTGCCAGCAGGTGGCTTTACATCATCAAACTACATGAGCTTAAATATCTGGAACTTTATGACAAATATAATTTTAAAATATGAGAAGCAATTTTTATAGAACATGGCAACAATTAGCCCCTCATGATAATTATTAGTCAACAGAAAAAATATCTTAATGTGAATTATTTGCTTCTTTAAATGCATTTTCTTTCTTTTTCTCACAAACACACTTCTCTAAACACTTGGTTTGAAAAAAGAATCGACTGTAAGACCAGTGTCTTGACAACGAACACATTTTCTCCATCTTAACAACTTCCTCATAGTGAGAAGTTTCATCACAAGTTTTTGGACTTCCTCATTTCGCAGCTCTTCTCCTTTCTCTTACGTTGATTTTCTCTGCATGCTGAGTTAAAAGTGTTCAAATTACACATCAAGCAATAATACTGATAAAACCGAGCTTAGTTTGGACACAGTGCAGATTAAATACAGAATCCTAAATGCTTTAATAAGAAGAATAACTGAACTTCACTTGACTGTTGAAGATATTTCACCTTTCTTCCAAAAGGCTCCTTCTGTTCTGATTGTGCGTGAGGAGGTCCGAGACTAAAAGTCATTAGAACGATCAAAATACCAGGACGGGTCACTGACCCATTCCTCTGTCCTGTGAGTCATTTGGGTCGTTGAAACTTGTTGAATGATTCTTAACGAGCTGTTTGAGTCACATTTTGAGACGTGGAAGGCCTGAAGAGAAGAGCCAAGGTTGGACATTAAAAAGGAACCTGAGACCACCTCTTCAGTTTAATTAACATATTTTTATGTTTATTGTAGAAGTGCATGTTGTTCAGGGCAGCGAGGAACGTTGGACTGTGTTTAACTGACTCGCACACGGATGTTTAGTCACATGTATGAAAGTATGAATTAGAGGTAACCGGCCTAAAGGGCTGGTCACGTTGTGCGCTAAAAATTAATGAATTATTGGAAACATTAATACAGAAACATTAACATTTATACTTTATAGTAAGAAAAAAAAACACCGCTGAGATGAGTAGTTGTGTATGGTCACAAAAATGTATATTAGTTTTTACATTTCCTATATTTTTATATATATATATTTATAATTTATACTTTGTAATGTAAGTTTAGGAAAGCTAAAATCTGAGACCTGGACCTCTTTAACACAAACGTTAACAACCATCAGGAGGGAGAGGAGAGAGATGAATCTGGATGCAGCATGCACCTAAAGCTTGGAACTCCGCTCTTCTGTTCGGAACTGACAAAGCTCCCAGGATGGAACGTGACATATCTTCAACTACAAAATAGAAGCAAATGGGCTGTACTTACAGGTGCTGCTCATAAAATGAGAACATCGTGAAAAAGTTGATTCATTTCAGTAATTCCATTCAAAAAGTGAAACTTGTATATTATATTCATTCATCACACACAGACTGATATATTTCAAATGTTTATTTCTTTTAATGTTGATGATTATAACTGACAACTAATGAAAACCCCAAATTCAGTATCTCAGAAAATTAGAATATTGTGAAAAGGTTAAATTTTGAAAAGACCTGGTGCCACACTGTAATCAACTAATTAACTTAAAACACCTGCAAAGTCCTTTAAATGGTCTCAGTCTAGTTCTGTAGCTGCACAATCATGGGGAAGACTGCTGACTTGCCAGTTGTCCAAGAGATGACCATTGACTCCTTGCACAAGGAGGTCAAGACAAAAGGTCATTGCTAAAGAGGCTGGCTGTTCACAGAGCTCTGTGTCCAAGCACAGTAAAAGAGAGGGGAAGGAAACAATGTCGTAAGAAAAGTGTTCAAGCAATAGGGATCACTGCACCCTGGAGAGGATGGTGAAAGAAAACCCATTCCAAAATGTGGGGGAGATTCACAAAGAGTGGACTGCAGCTGGAGTCAGTGCTTCAAGAACCACCACGCACAGACGTATGCAAGACATGGGTTTCAGCTGTCACATTCCTTGTGTCGATCCATTCTTGAACAAGAGACAGCATCAGAAGCATCTCGCCTGGGACTGCTGCTGAGTGGTCCAAAGTTATGTTCTCTGGTTAAAGTAAATTGTGTGTTTCCTTTGGAAATCCAGGTCCCAGAGTCTGGAGGAAGAGAGGAGAGACACAGAATCCATGTTGCTTGAGGTCCAGTGTCAAGTTTCCACAGTTGGTGATGGTTTGGGGTGCCATGTCATCTGTTGGTGTTGGTCCACTGTGTTTTCTGAGGTCCAAGGTCAATGCAGCATCTACCAGGAAGTTTTAGAGACTTCCTGCTTCCTGCTGCTGACCAACTTTATGGAGATGCAGATTTCATTTTCCAACAGGACTTGGCACCTGCACACAGTGCCAAAACTACAAGTACCTGGTTTAAGGACCATGGTATCCCTGTTCTTAACTGGTCAGCAAACTCGCCTGACCTTAACCCCATAGAAAATCTATGGAGTATTGTGAAGAGGAAGATGTGATACACCAGACCCAACAATTCAGAAGAGCTGAAGGCCACGATCAGAACAACCTGGGCTCTCAGAACACCTGAGCAGTTCCACAGACTGATCCACTCCATGACACGACACATTGCTGCAGTAATCCAGGCAAAAGGAGCAACAACTAAATATTAATGCTGTACATGCTCATACTTTTCATGTTCATACTTTAAAGTTGGACAACATTTCTAAAAATCTTTTTTATTGTTGTTGGTCTTAAGTAATATTCTGATTTTCTGAGATACTGAATTTGGGGTTTTCATTAGTTGTCAGTTATAATCATCAACATTAAAAGAAATAAACATTTGAAATATATCAGTCTGGGTGTAATGAATGAATATAATATAAAAGTTTCAATTTTTGAATGGAATTACTGAAATAAATCAACTTTTTCATGTTATTCTAATTTTATGAGCAGCACCTGTACATCACCTTCCAAAGCTCTTACAGAACTCTGTTGCAGCTCCACAAAGATGAGCTGATCTTTTCTACGGAGACGAGTCAGGGCTCCAGATCACATTCATACACAGACGGGTCACGTAGAGCTTCAGCGTTTTGTCCGGGGACACTTCAATGCACACTAGTGGAATCGAACCCCCAACTCTCTCAATGGTGAACGACCGCTCTAACCACAGTTGCACTGTTTTTAAAATTGTAGGTTTTGTTTTAGCTGGTTTTCAATAAGACCTGCATGTTCTTTCCCATGATGCAACACGACTGTGATGTATTTATCGTGTAAGACCTTAACAGAGTCTGGTCTGTTTGGTCACTTGGTGATTGAAGCGTAGAGGCTGTTCAGATCAGTGGCTGGAGCTTTCACGGTGCTGTAGGTCACAGTATCACCTTCTTCATCCATTTGAACCTGGAGGAAAAAATAAACAAATAAATAAACGATATGTGTATGT